GATAGATAGATAGATAGATAGATAGATAGATAGATAGATAGATAGATAGATAGATTTAAACTGGAAATACATAGAGCCCAAAGCATCTGTTTCCCACCACCACTGCCTTCCTTTTAACCAACCTGCCCAGCTCCAGACAAAGCTTTTACAGTGGAGAAATTAAAGCCCGCAGACTTCATCTTTTCCAAAATCAGATCCAGGGCCTAGAAAAAAAACAAATCTGTTGCATGGTGACTGCAGTATTCTTGGAAATTTGGAGATCTCACCAGTCTCAGAAATGAACAGAAAAGAGATGCCTGCAGTCCAGGGGCATCCACAAGGGGGGGCTAAAAAAAATCAAAATGGCGGCCACAACCATGCAATTGAAGCCCTGCCCCCTTTCTATATGCATCGTGACTTTTTTTTTTAACCAGCACCCCCCGCATAAGACCCTGGTTGGGACACTGTGGTTGTACAAACTCCTGGGTACCACCTCTGCTCCATGAGTTGTACAGGTTGCCAGTTGGCTTCTGAGGGGACTTCAAGGTCATCGCCAATAAAGTCCTTCATGGCCTGGAACCAGGTTATCTGTGAAACCATGTCTCTACTGTTTTACCTCTTCGTCTTATTACATCTAGTAGCACAGGTCCCCATCATTAAAGTTACGTGATCTTCTGGGACCTTGGAGACATGCAATGGTGGTGACCACATCTACCCTGGGAGATAGCATCCACCCCCAAAGACTAGACAGCCCCAACTTTATGGTCATGTAGGCAGCCCTAAAAACACCGCAGTTCCAATAGCCCCAGGGTAGGACACTTTGCAACCCCACCCTGACATTGCAATTTTATTCTTAGTGTTGCCTTCCCTAATACAGCAGTAGATCTTGGGGATTTTCTTGTTCTTGCTCTCATTTGGCTGCTTGCTTTATTGGTTTAAATGGTGCATAGACGCTTGGACTAAGGCAGATTAGAATCCAAACAAATAAACACTGGAATAAATCACCCAGCACAGGGGATCAAGAGAAGAGCTTTAACTCCAACGAGCCCCAGGATCGTTCTAGGTTAAGCTAATCTCCCCAGTCAGCCATATTGTGTCATCACAGAAGGACGGACAGAAGAGCTTTGCAATGTGACCCAAGTCATCTGCTCTTCTCCTTCTTTCCATATTAAGGCCAGCTCCAGTCCCTCCCTCTCCTTGCCTAGCCTTTGCTCAACTGAAAGCAGAACAAGCTTTCTGGAAGTTTGAATTCGGCCGAACCAGAAGGATGCCCAGCAACAGCGGCAAGATGGCAAGGCTACGGTGAAATGCCAAGGTAAAGATCATTCCCACAGCCACACAACCTTTGAAAGCAAGTGCTTGCAGGGAAAAGCAACCATGCTAACATCTGTACAGTTCAGCTGTGCAGATTTATAAAGGCTTATGGCCAAAATTCAACCATCTGTCGGACGACACTGAGTGCAGCCAACATCAAATCAGCGAGATGGATCTGCACCAGTGGAGCACTGGAGCCAAGGGGTGAACACACATTTTTATTTTTGGGGGGGAAAGGGTATGTTTCATTAGGGAATGTTCCTCAAACACCTGCTTTCTTTGCCCTTGCACTGTACACGTGCTTACAGCAGCTATCAATTGTGAGTTTTTTCAGTGGGGGAGGTGTCTACCTTATTTCAAAGAAAAGGGATAGAGAGACATTTATAACTAGCTAGGAATGTAATCTCATATACAGGTGGTCCTCATTTAATGACCATTTGTTCAGCAACCATTCGAAGTTACCACCACGCTGAACAAGTGGGACTTATGACCGGATCTCGTATTTACGGCTATCCCAGCGTCCTGCAGTCATGTGATCGCAATTTGCAACCGTCCCTGCCAGCTTCCCACAAGCAAAGTCAATGGGGAAGCCAGCAGGAAGTCTCAAGTCACAATCATATGAGGTCATTGCTTAACAACCTGCACAATCCTCATTTAACAACAGCAACCAGGATTGCCGGAACTGCCATTGCTAAGCAGCACAGTCACGTGGTTTTTCGACTTACAGCTGTGTTACTTAACGATGGAGATTCCGGTCCCAATTAGCATTGTTAAATGAGGACTACCTGTACCAGAAGTGATCTTCCATGTTTTAGGGACCAAAGGTATTCTTCCCCTAATGAATTTGTTGGGCTTCAGCAATTCCTCCTATATTGCCTCTAAAATTTGAGGGCAAACTACTTGTTTGCTTATTTATTCATGGCAGTGTTTCCAACCTTGGCATTCCAGGTCTGGGCTTCAACTCCCAGAATTCTCATCAATGGCCATGCTGGCTGTGGAATTCTGGGATTTGAAATTCACAACCCTGGACATTGCCAAGGTTGAGAAACACTGATTTAAGGCATTTGCAAAACTGCCCAACTCACAATTTATGACTCTGGTTGGCATACACCAACAAAACCAATCAAAACAAAAAGTAATACAAAACCAATATATAAGCACAATCAGCTGCATAGCCACAGCTGGAAATGCAGGTCTTACCAACCATTCAGCAACGGTTCAAAGTTGCAACAGCACTGAACAATGCTTATGACTAGTCCTCGAAGTTCCAGCCGTCACAGTGCCCCCGCGGTCACATGATCACAATTAGGGTGCTTGGCAACCAGCTCACACTTATGATAGTTGCAGCATCCTGCGGTCGTGTGATCACCATTTGCAACCTTCTCTGCCAGCTTTCCACACACAAAATCAATGGAGAAGCTGGCAGGAAAGGTTACAGGTCACTCTGGTAAGTTCCCCCTGGCCTTCCTGCCCACTGAGCCACATCTTCCTTCCTTTGGCCTCCCTGCACTCACACCGCACTGCAGCACCCTCCTCCCTGAACTCACATGCAGCCTGCGCTGGGCCTCCCAGAGCCTCTCTCACTCCCCCGAGGCACCCCCTACACTTCTTACCTGGGACTCCCTCCACTTTCTGCTTAATGACTTGCACTTCTTGGGCTTACAACAGCAACCTGGACTGCCTGGACTGCTGTCGCTAAGCGATGCCATCACATGACCACATTGTTTAGCGACAGCAACCCCAGTCCCAATTGCTGTTGCAACCCGAGGATTACCTGTATTCCCTCTCCTAACATAATGGGCTCAATTGCTACCCTAGCCCAATGCACAGGAGAAAAGCTGAGTTTTCACGAGTAGGGTCAGGACCTCCCATAATTTGGAAGGGAGTTTATTCCAAAGGACAGGCACAACAATTGGGAAGCCATGCCTCCTAGGCCCCATTAGGTGACACTAGTTCAGAGAAGAGACCTGGAGCATGCCCACTCTGCACGGGATGAGCAGAAATAACCAGAGATAGGTGGTCCTGCAAATAACCCTGCCCTGTGCCATCTAAGGCTTTATAGGTAATAACCAGCATCTTGGCTTGCACCCAGAAGCCTACTGGGAGCCAGTGCATAAATGACCCTACAAATAGCCATGTCAGGCTTTATAATAGTCATCACCTTACAATTGCACCATTTTTGTCAGCCCCAACATATAGATCAACTCCAAATTAAGACTAAAACTACTTTTATTAAGAGCTGCTACACTAACAGAATCTTGCAAGACTGATTATGCTTTACTTCCTCCTTTTCTTATACTCATGTGAATTAGGAGAGTGTCTTCATAATTTGGGCTTAAGCCATGTTTCCCCCCTTGTTGCTTGGGTATGGATCCTCCCTCTCCATCAAGGCCATCCTCTTTACTCTCTACAATTTTGTACAATTGTAAACATGGGGAGGTGGGGGGTGTTTGTTATGTAGTTAGTCATGCCCATTTTCCAGATGTAGCCAGCTTCTGGGTGTGGGTCCCCTGGTATACTCCAGGAAAATTCAGCTGGGAAAAAGAGATGCCCATCTCTGCCATGTGTATTTACTCTACAATTAGGCCACCTTTTGGAGCCAGGCACATCTTAAGGTTTGAGAACCTGTAGTTAGTTGTGACTATGCCATGCTCTCATGGCTGCCAGAGGGAGCACGGCGTAGTCACAAACCATCCCTGTACCAGAAGGGAAACTATCCTCCAAGAATATTAATTAATTAATTAATTAATTAATTAATTAATTAATTAATTAATTAATTAATATGAAGCTTTGATAGGAACTAAATGGGGAAAGGATGTAATTATGCGAAAATTCCATTTCAGTTAATTAATTAATTAATTAATTAATTAATTCTCAGCCAACCCAGAGAGACTTTCACGGAGCTCAAAGGCATTCCTGTGAGCAGGTATGAGACTAGAGATTACTCCTTTGCTTTGCAGCATTAGTTAATTCTTTTCAACTAAGGCAATCTTTAGGGAAAAAATTAGGTGGGACAGAAAACTTGGAGAACATCAAGAGGTTTGGAGAGATGTTGGTGTTTACTGGCACCATATTGCCTCCCCAGGAGACTAGATTGACAAAGAAGAATCTTCAGAGAAATTTCTCCTTCTCTCTCAAAAAAAAAAAAATGCCTCCAAGATTTAAAGTATCAATTGAACAAGATCACATAAACAAGAAAAAAATGAAAGGCAAAGCAGTTTATCTTCCATTAAAAAAAAAAAGGAAACAGTGTTTATGATTAAAAATTGGAAACGACCAATGAAGCTTTGATAGGAACTAAATGGGGAAAGGATGTAATTATGCGAAAATTCCATTTCAGCCGAAGCAATGTTGACATCATTTTTGAATTATCACAACTGCTATGTTAAACAATAGTATAAAATGCAACTATTTAAAGAAATAGGGAAAACTGCATCATCAAAGGAAATCTCAAGAACATTCAGAGATAGTAAACAAGCAAATTATAGATTGTCTGACAAACGTAATAGTGTCTTGTATAACCCAATTTTAATAATGCTGAACTAAGTATCATCTAATGACACAGATAGCGTCAAGCAGCCAATTATTGAAATCTATGGCAGCTCCTAATTAAGGAGAGGAGAAATGCCATTCCTCCAGACTCAGTACTCACAGAAAAAAAAATATTTCACAGCCTGCCTTCACAACTGCTAAGGAAAAGAAGCTTGTAAGGGAAGTTCCTAAAGCAAGCTGAAGCCATCTCTCCATCTGGGGGTGGGTGAGTATCTTAATGCATTGGGGTTTCCTTCCATTGGCAACAATCTCCCATCCAGGCCTACCAAACTGTTCACCCACCACGATAAACACAAATCCATGTCTCCATGTGTTTGGTCCAGATCTTCTGGTTTTCATAGCCCCAAGAAGGCAGGAAAACCAGAAGTTTCAGCAAGATTCTAATGGGTGATCACTCATGCATGAGTAGATATCTTACTATCTACAGTGCTGGAAGAAAAATATTGTCGTACTCAAACCCAGGAAGTTTTATCCATGCTTGGATGAAGCTATCAAAACAGTTGATCATGTGTTACTGTCCTTTTTACTACAGCTGGTGCTCCATGCCAATAACTCAGTTCCTTATTGAGTGTTTAGGTCAACACCTGAAGAGGAAGTAGAACCTTTTCAATGAGAAGACCAGTCAACTTACATCCCCATGAAAATAGCTAAATTCTGTTCTATTAGTGAGATATTAAACCACAGTAGTGTAAAGCAGTGTTTCTCAACCTTGGCAACTTTGAGATGGGTGGACTTCAACTCCGGAATTCTGCTAGCTGGGGAATTCTGGGAGTTGAAGTCCACACATCTTACAGTCACCAAGGTTGAGAAACACTGGTGTAGAGTGTACAAACAAAAATTTATTTCTTGTAAGTTGGACCAGATATAATGCTGGTTTAAAACGAAATATGCTATGCCCCAACTGAGTTCTAAGTGATATCTTGGAATATTCTTTGTTCAAGAGCTACCATTGCCTGATCTTGTCCCAGCTGCATCAGTGTCTCCCTTGAGAATCCCAACTTGTGTAATTTGTCATTTATTTCAGGTTTCCAAGAGGAATTAATATTTACCTGACAGGATAAAAGTATCAGACTCTGAGGCTGAAAGTGGGCTTTTAGCCAATAGCTGAATATAGGTAGCCATGTCCTCATTTCTATTTTTATAAATCCTGCCTCCAAACCTAAAGCAGTGCTGGGCACACATTTTGCTACTTGGAATAACTCTCTTAGGAAACCCGTTTGAATTCTTTCTCATTTCTCATAGTTGACACCTGGACTGAACTGTGCTCCAGAGAGGAGCATCTCGGCTTCAAAGCAGCTGGTACGTACTGGGCTCCTTTCAAGAAAAAGAAAGAGAATCCAAACTGAAAATCCACAGTATCCTGGTTTTTCCAAAGGTTAGGGACTCAGAAATAGAAATAGTTACATACCATAGCGGTTCTCTCTTTCTGGCCAGCAAAGAGTCCGATGGATTTCTATTGCATAGATCTAAGCAAATTCACAACATGACTTATTCAAAAAGGCACTGGCAATGTGAACAAAAGATTAGTTCTTACCTTGACCCACATTAACACAGGAGAAGACACAGATAATCTGTCATCGTGTACATAAACACCACCTTGAGTGCTGCAGGAAACACAGTATTAAAGCAAATAGCATTACAGTAACTTGTTTTTCTGCTCTGGGTCTCCCCAAACACAATTGTCTAATGATCAGAGAACACAGACTTGTGCCTTCTTGTGAATAAGAGGGACAGCTAAGCTTACAATTTCCAACTGCTGAAAAAAATGCGTATGTTCCCTTCTCCTATTATAACGCTGCTACAATATACAGAAATACAGGTAGTCCTTGCTTAATGACCACAACAGGGAGCAGAAAATTCGTTGTTAAGCAGGGAGGTCATTAAGCGAGGCATCACATGACCACATCTGACTTTACAACATTTTTTGCAGTGGTCATTAAACAAATCATGCAGTTCCCCATTGATTTTGGTTGCCGGAAGCTGGCTAGGAAGATTGCAAATGGCAAACACATGACCCCAGGACGCTGCAACCATCTTAAGTGCGAGCTGGTTGCCAAGCGCCTGGATCGCAATCACGTGACCGCAGGGATACTGCGACAGTGGTAAATGCGAGGACCGGTCGTAAGTTATTTTTTTTGGTGCCGCTGTAACTTCAAACAGTCACTAAATGAATGGTCATTAAGCGAGGACTACCTGTGCTATTAGTAAGCAGCTTTGAGCCACTAAATAAAATCAAAGAGCCATTTTTTTAAGCCAATACACATTTGGACACTCTCACAGGCACCAATTCTGATGCTTGGATATAGCCATGATATTCCTGCTTTAATCATTCTGCAATCCACACTACAATCCTCCCCAACCGGGTGCCTTCCGGAAGAGCTAGGACTGCAATTCTTAGAATGCTTAGCAAAAGCCCATGGAGGCTGAGAATTTTGGAAGTTGCAGTTCCAATGTGTCTGGAAGCATCAGGTTGAAAAAAGCTGATGTCAAGACAAGAGAAGCTGAGTAGGTTCAGCCAATAAATCTTCAATAGGATAAAAATGATGCCATGTAGGAAGCATCTAGGACTGATTACGCAAGTGCCAAAAAGACTAAAGCAGCAGTTATACACAATTCCAAACCAACTTCGGAAAACATAACACAGAAATCTGCAAAGAACTGCACATCTTCCAGCCTCCAAAACTTTCGTAGAGGAATAGCATTATCTTGATCCCTCTAAAAGAGGGATGAAAAACATGTTTTTTTTCACCTGCTCCTACCATAGGAGGATGTGAGAATTGAGAAGGACAAAATATCTTACTCAGGCAGAGAAGAGGGCTTCTTCCCAAGTATTGTTTGTTGTTTCCAATGGGCAACAGAAAAGAGTTATTGATGTTCTTCTTAGCATTTGTACCTCTTGGATGCAAGGCCCGCTTGTTTTGTGCTCACCTGGTTCTTATAGTATAACTATCAATGAATGATGTGATGAGGGGTTTTGTCTGGCTTGTCACGGAGTCTGGCAAGAGTGACAAGAGGAAGTGACTGGCCCAGTTGGCTTCTAGGCTTAAGCGAGGACTCAAACTTAGGTCTCCCTGTTCTAGCACCTTCCCCACTAGACTATCCTGGCCATTGGCTGAGAGGAAGTTGCTGGCCCAAGGTCACTCAGCTGGCTTCCATGACTAAGACAGGGCTAGAACCTGGATCTCCCTGCTCCCTATCCAGCACTTTCCCCACTAGACCTCACTGTCTCTGAGAAGAAGTGACTGGATCAAGATCACCCAGCGGCTAGAACCTGGGTCTCCCCACTCCTGGTCCAGCACCTTCACAACTACACTGTGCAGTGTAACTGGGGAGCATATTAAAGTATTTCAATAAATAATTAAATAAATGCTGGGTCTTGGGCAACAGAGAACCATAATTAAGGAAAAAGATAAAGAGAATGGGAAGAAAGAAACCTCTAATCTGGAACTATATCCTCTCAGTAAAGTAATCCTTCTCCTTAAGAAGTAATAATACAAAATACCAATAAATATATATTCAATACATATTTACTGAGCCTTCAGGAATGGGCAACATAAAATAAATAAATAAATATGTAAATAAATATTGAGATTGGAATTCCCAGAATTCCAACCAGCTAGACCTTCTGATTGGGAATCCTGGGACTTGCCATTCCAACACATCTGGAAAATGCCTAGATAAAGAAGAATGAGCTAGTGTATATCAGCTGTGTATATCAGTTAGACCAAGGTATGGCACAAGGGAAGAAAAACGTACCCAAATTCCGGGAGATCTTTGTCAAAATTAATATTGTCCTCATGGATGACTCTCAACTGTTCATCGACCGCAATTACTTTCAGCTGGAGAAAGAGCATGTTATTAATTCTAAATTCAGAAGAAGCAATCATTTCTACATGATCAGTCACTAGAAATTGCCACTTCATGCTGCCTTCTTCCTACGATCACAAAGCATGGATCATTGATTAATGTCCTATTTCCCGGGTGCAAATTAGAACCTCACTAAAAAGAGATTGAAATCCCCATGATTAGTCTGGAGAAATATCTCACCATTTCCTATCGGTGTCCCCAGGCTTTGTTTCTGCATGATCAAGCTCTTATTTTACTATTGCTTTTCACAAAACCCAATTTTAAAAACATCAATTCATGGTAGACAGCTGGCTATTCTTTTTTCCTGCTTGTTTCAAGAGAATAGAAAATGACAGCCTCGGATGCCACTATGGTGGGGATTTTTTTACAAAATACTGTGAAAATAATTTAATACCTGCTTTCACCTTTCCTTAACTTTGCACAGAACTCTAGCTTATGTTATTCTACCATTCTGAGCAATCACACCTGTTGGCCAGACAGGATGAGGAATCTGCATGTTCCCATCCCAAAACATTGCAGAAAATCTGTCAAATAAATCCTACATTTCTTAACACTAACAAACTCTGCCATGTTGGATAAGCCCAATGTATCCCGTCCTGAAATGAGGTCAGAGACTTCATAGGTGAGCATATAAATTGAATATAAGGCAAATATTATCTCCCAGTGCAGAGATCCCATTTCAGAGATGAAACCTGCCCCAACACAGGAACCAAGAGATTTGGTTCATCTACATCCCTGAGACAGGAAAAGAGGAGGCCGCTCTCAAACGGTTGCCCTCCCAGCAAACGGTGAGTTTGGTGGTCCCTAGAGAACATCAAGAAAGTCCCTAAAGAACACCAAGAAACGTGGCTCCTTTTTCTTCCAAATATAGTTCATTTTAATGTGACAGAGAAACTTAAAGATGGTGAGGAGCTGAAAGCTACTGAGATCAAAGGGGACATCACCTCCTGTCCCTCAGGCTGAGGGATCCTCAGACCTGCCATCAGAAACTGCTGAACATGGAGTGAGGGGGTCCTTTGTGTGCCTTTGATGGCATTTCCTACTCAACAGCAGCAACAATGAAGCTTCTCTTGGGCCAGGGTATCTCCACCCCGGGTACAGCTGGTTGTCACTCCTCACAAACATTTGTCCTGGCTGCCTGGAATTTGGATATGGATCAAGGCAATTGCTGGAAGAAGTGGGTTGCTCATTTTCAGTAGGCAATAAACAAGTGCTTCTCAACCTTGGGAACTTAAAGATGTGTAGACTTCAACACGACTGGCCAGGGAATTCTGGGAGTTGAAGTCCACACATCTTCAAGTTCCCAAGGTTGAGAAATACTGCGATAAACTGTCAGTGTGGGAAGTACAAAAAATTAACTGAAGTTTCAGGAGCCATCCATCCACTGTCACTCAGCAGTGAGATGGGCGGTGACAAATTTGAAATACAAATTAAATAAATAAATAAAATGGGGTCTGCTGCAAAAACAGACTGGGCTTAAGGAGCACTAATGAAATTGAGAGTACAGAGAAGGGAATTCCCCCCACCCACCCATTGGAAAAAAAAATGACCACAAGGCCCAGAATTCTGGGCTGGTAGGAAAGAGCAATTCTGCAGTAAACCAACTGAAGCCTCAATGTCCCAGATCTAGCCTATTCGTCTTAGGGTCTCCAGGGGTCTCCTATCCAAGTTCTAACCAGATCTGACCCTGCTTAGCTTTTTTCGAGATCAGCCCAACCGGCCCTTCCATTTACCGTTAAAATTAAATGAGCTGCATGCAGTTAATATAATGATTCCCCAGCCATGGATTTAATATTTTCGGGAGGGCTCCTGAGGCTGCATATGGCTGAGCCTTCCTGGTGTGAAACTGAGTTAGATGCTTTGCACAATTATTTGTAATTGTGCCATCTGGATATTCTCTTTGGGTAAGACAATTGTGGATTCTTTTAAAGTACACGATACACAGCCTTCAGAGAGAGAAAGAGGTTTACATAACCTCTCCTTCAAACAAGATCCAAAATCTATGTCCGAGAGGAAAATGTATCAGGTGACATGCGCTTTCTCTATAATTTTAATTTGTTTTGGGCTAATGGATAATGAACTGCTAAAAAATCTACACCCCACAAGTGAATTCCATAGTTAACCTTTGGTTCCTCATGTTGCAACTCAGCGAATTCAAGTTGGGTTTGCTTTTAGATAGAGTTGTAAAACTTCAACAAGTCTTAAAAGGGCTCGTATCCACACTTTGCAGGGTTTGCCTTACCGGAGGATAAAAATTCTTTTTAAGGCATGAAGTTCACCCCTTCTGAACAAAGGGGGAGTACTTTAAAATTCACATGCCACCTTCAGAAATTTTCCAAGCAGCGGTAACGATGCTTCTGTGGAACTCTCATTTAACCCAGTGAGAAAAAAATCTCCAATTAATACAAGAAATATGCATTTGCAGATATAAATTCAGTAGCAGGATTGGCTGCAACATCTGTTGAGATCCAGTGTCTGGCTGCACCCTAACGTGTCAAAAATAACAGTGCAATCCTCTAGATCAGTGTTTCTCAAAC